TGATACTTTCTCACAGCTCTTGAATGTTCCGTCTCTCACACACATTCTTCTTTTTTATCTTTATGTTAGGTAATTCCTATTAAGCTATTTAATTTTTTCCTCCAGCATGCCTCGAGTACTGACAGGAATGCTGGAGAAATAGGAAATATATGTCCTTTGAGTTTCAGAAGACCATCAATGGGTGTGATTGTACTTGGACATTTAGCTTACAGAGGCTGACGAGGGAAAATAAATGCTGAAAGAACATTTGGTATAAGTCCTTTGGAATGTATTGGCATTCTTTTAAAAGTAGTGTATGGCCGGTTTTTATAAATGTTGCATGAACACTTTGAAAGGGGTACTAATTTTTACAGTGATTAAGTTAAAGTGATTGATTTTACAGATTAAAGTCTGATGGATAGTGATTAAAGTCCTTATTAATTTTTATTCATTATATCATTTAAAATTTGTGTCCATTTTTATTTTCTTGAATTGTCAAACACGTTTTTCCACTTTGTCTTCATAATTCCAATGGTTTTGATAGAAACTAGCCCATATTAATGTAAACTAAGGAATTTAATATAATTTTACTGCTTTTACTCACCATTACCTAATCTTTATAACATAATTAAAGTTATGCAGCTAGATATTATTTTTGTTGTATATCACTTTCCAGATTGTTTTTACTTTAGCACTTTTTAAAAACAATAATTAAATATTTCAACAGAACTATGTATGTGAACTGATAGAATTGTACTTCCAATCCTTTTATGCTCCAACTTTTTTCTTGAGTTTTCACACTTGCTTCACATTATCTGTCAACTAGATTATACCTTAGAATAACCTTTTCAGGAAGAATACATGGGTGGGATTTTTTTAGCTCTTACATGTGTAAATATATATTTCTACTGCCACAGTTCGTATGCTTCTCTTTCAGCTACAGTAGTTTTATATTGTGAAAGTTAGAAGTTGGAAACAAAATAATTGCCGATGAGAGAAGGAGCTTCGATGGAAGTAGTGTCTTTATATGTCTCCAAAATCCATTCTCTTACAGCAAGAGGAAGAACAGTCAGACTATCTGGTTGTAGCCTGGGCTCCATATTGCAAGTGAGAGGAGATCGGGCGCATTCAGGGTGCTGTGGCCGTAGACTATATTGCAAGTGTAGATGTAACGTAGTTGTTTTGTTTCCTGTGTCCGAGTGATTTTTCTATCTAGTTCAGACATTCTCCCCTCCAGAATATCTCCTTCATGAAACTCACTTTAGTTTGAATGCTATTATTGAATGATTTCAGTAGTTTCTGGTGTCGTTCAGACTCTGTTTTCTGTCTTTTCATGGCTATTTCAATAAGAGACTGAAAAGGAATAAATCAGGCATGAACAGCTGACCTCTTTTACAACCTTTAATGTTATTCCTTCATTGAACAAAATTTATGTAATGCCTATTTAAAGGTTACATTCTATTTCAAAAAGTTTACTTAACCATGCTCAAAAGTTTAATCATGTTTAGATGCTTGCATTATTTTAGATTACGTTAGTAAAATAGTTATTTGTTAAGAAACAATGTATTAAGGTACAGCCTTAAATGTAGATGTTTTAGGCCAAAGGTTGTGATAATTTTAATATATCTTCATATATAATGCCAATTTCCTTTCCCAAAATGTCATCACCTTTTAACTTCTACCAACAAATCGTGATGAGTTAAGGCTTAGCTTTTTGCTATCAGAGATTACTCCAACCAACATATTCCTGACTACCAGGAAGGGGCTAATATCAAGGAAATGGCTGAGCACAGAAGCCCCTTGCACTGTGGACAATGTGATAGAGCTGCAAGGAGAAGTTGGAACTTAGTTCCTGCCCAGAAGGTGAGAAAGAAATTCAGAGAGTCAAGCCAGAGATGAAACTAGAATGAACAGGAGAGGCAAAGAAGAGGAAATGAATAGGTTACATTGCTAGGAAATAAGAGCAGATGGGCTAAAGAAGGAACGGGAGATGGAGAGTCCAGACCAGATTCTGGAATCATAAGGACAGGGTACAGATAATACCAGGATAATTTTCTACTGTGAACGAAAACAGGTCAGCATAGCCAGAGAAGCAGAAGCCTGAGGCCATCACTTCCCAAAAGGAACTCTGGAGGAATCCATCCAGGACTTTCAATGAATCCTCCCCACTCTTTTGATTTGTTTTGTTTTCATTTTGTTTTGCTGTTTGAGACAGAGTCTCGCTCTGTTGCCCAGGCTGGAGTGCAGTGGCGCAATCTCAGCTTATTGCAACCTTCACCTTCCAGGTTCAAGCGATTCTCCTGCCTCAGCCTCCTGAGTAGCTGGAACTACAGGCACGCACCATCACCTCCAGCTAATTTTTTGTGTTTTTAGTAGAGACAGGGTTTCACCAAGTTAGCCAAAATGGTCTCCATTTCCTGACCTCATGATCTGCCCGCCTTGGCCTTCCAAAATGCTGGGATTACAGGCGTGAGCCACTGCGCCCCAGCAGGATCCTCCCTACTCTTAAAGATCCCTTACTACTTTTTACTATGAAAGCCATGGCACCTTCTTGGGTGTCTTCACTAACGATACAACACAGTGCCAGGGTGATAGTGATAATCAGTAAGTGCTTGCTGTATGCTCTTTGAGCCCAGTTCCTGTATTTGATAACCAGATTTTTCCCATATTCAGTGCAGAGCGGGGGAGACTCTTACTAAAATCCAAACCAGCTAAACCCATCACCTTTCACCTACTACGCTGTAAGTGCCAAAGGAAAGGAAGAAGTTTCCAAACCAGACACGGACAAAGGTCCAGTGGCTCCAGGGCGGATGTCTTAGTCCTTGAGAATATAAAGAACAGCTCCCAGGCTGGGTTGAAAGCTCCAATTTTATTTTAAAATATGATTAGGAGCTGAGGAGGCTGATGCGTTTTGAAACACTCTTGTCTCCAGCGTCCATAGCAGCTCTGAATTATTCGGCGGCTTGATTTGCAGCAGGCAAGTTGAATGGTGAGCATTTTTCCAGTGGCAGTGACTGAACTAACGTATTTCCACCACATGTTTTAAAGCCCACAGAATGGTAACTGAATAGCTCATTATTTCCTTTGAAAAGGCTGGACTCTGCAGGTTGTCTCCACCTGTGCTGTTCCCTCTGTGGTGCTGGCTTTAAATAGTTCAGCGCTAAGTGCTCAGGTTGCTTCGGAAGTCAAAAACCTCTGACTTTGATCTTTCCATTTGTACCAGAAAAACACCAAACGCTGATCCAAACAACTCCAGGGGTTTCCAGAGCAAGCTAATGTCTCAGTAATAACAGTACCTTAACATTGTATTCCACTATCCCATTTTCAAAGGTTTTTGCATACAAAATCTTATTTTAAAATGTAAAATTAATATCTCACACTGTGATGGTTAATTTTATGTGTCAACTTAATGGGGCCATAGGACCCCCCTGAGAGTTGGTTGAACATTATTTCGGGGTGTGTCTGTGAGGGTATCTGGGGAAAACTGGCACAGGACATTTGAATTGGTGGACCGAGTTAAGCAGATGGCCCTCCCCAATGTTGGTGGGCATTATCCAATCTATTGACGGCTGGACTAGAACAAAAGGGAGGCAGAGGGAAGGCTGAACTTGGATTTTCCTTCACTACTTGAGCTGAAACTTTCATCTCCTGCCCCCAGCATTCCCGGTCTCAGGCCCTCAGATTTGGCCTTGAATCTTTCCCTCCAGCCTCTGGCTCTCAGGCCTTCAGCCCACAGCACTGGCTTTCCTGCATCTCCAGCTTGCAGATGACAGACTCTGGGACTTTAGAGTCTTCATCTTCTTGTGAGCCAGTACAAATACATCTCTTTATATACACATATATTTATTTATAATATATTATACATACTATAGGAGATTATATATGTGCAATAAGTATATAATCTCTGTTGGTTCTGCTTCTTTGGAGAACTCTGACTAATACACTCTCTGAGAAAGTAGTCCCATTTTACAGAGGAAGCCACTAGACACAGAGAGGCAGGTGATATCTTTTTAAGACAATAAGTTAGCTAGGGGAAAAAACAAAAGAAAACAAAACAGAACTGGTCCTAGGAAAGCACATCACTGGCCAACTGTTTCCTCTATAACCTCACACATTTTATTCACTGAGGATGGGAAGAAATTTGATAAAAATTTGCAGCTACTGGAGGGGAGGCTTGTGTCAACAGGGCTGCTTTTCTAGAATCTTCCCATCTCTTTCAGGGCAAGCATGTCCCAGCTCCCAAAACCTTTCCACAAGCAGGAAAGTCAGTGGTGTGGGCTGCTTCTTAATGAAGCCTTCTCTCTAAGAAGGATTCTGTTGTGGAAAGCCAACCCCTCCTTTGGCTGTTCAGATGTGCCTATGAATTATCCTCAGATGATTTTGACATTAGCCTGCTGGCAGGAATGTTTTGTGCGTGTCTATTTCTAGTGGCAAGATTAGAATCCCTAAAGCTGGAAATTGTATATGGCATGTGGTGCAAAGTAAACCTCCATATTCAGGACCCTGAAGAGTCCCACTTTAGCTTGGGAGCCTGGGTAAAAGCTGGCACCACTTCACACAGGCACGGTTGGGACCATATGGGAGAGGCCACAGGGGAACGACAGAGATGGGAATTATTCAGAGAGCATGAAAACCAACTTCCTTATGTGTCAGATGCATAAACTGAGACCCTGAATTAGTAGTGAATTCATGAGTAGAAACTGAACCTTCTGATTGCTAGTTTAATGTCTCTCTTACCCATGCAACCACCAAAATCATTCTGCTGATCCAGGTAGGAAGAGGCACTTATGAGATCTGATCTCTTGGATGCTGTCTACGTAACTGGCATCTGGAAGTTTGCTTAGCCTTTCTTGGAATGACTGTTTTCATGCCTCTGCATTCTGACTGGGGCCAACTTTTGTGCTCAAGAATCATGCCACAGTACTAGTGCCAAGGGATGCCTGCTCCTGTCCAATGGTGATGGGAGTACTAACTGCAAAGTTAGTATTATGAAAATGTGCAAAAGAGCCTTATTGGCCTGGACTGTCAAATGGGAAGTTGGCTCTTCTAGGGAGCTTTGGAGGAGGGAGAAAACCAGTTCTCTCTGTATTTTATCTTGTCTATCATTCTGATATCCAAGTTTGCATTACATTTCAAAGCATGATAAGTCCATTTCCTCATCCCTTGACAGAGGCCAGAATAACATTAACCAGATTGATTTTTATTCTGTCCTCTCTGTGTAGCCATTAGACATGTGTTCTGCTGGAGTCTGCCCAGTGTGGACTTAATTAATGCCCACCCATTATTGTGTACTGCTTACCTTCTCACTGATACTTAGTTCTTGAAAAATTGACCATGGGCAGGGAGCAGAATGCAGATGCATGCCAATGAGTCTTGATGGTGTGGAGCAAGTCACGCTGAAGGCAGAGAGCCACAGCCCCATCTGGTTTTTATTCATACAGACACAGCTCATTTTTCCCCACTACGCTAGCAAGGGCACGTGTTCAAATGCCCATATCTGTGGTAGGAGAGTTGTGATTCACTGAACATCTCATTTAACATCCAAGTCTCAACTATCTTCGGTGGATTCAGAGATTTGCCTGGGTCCAACTTCTTGCTTCTGTAAGGGAGATCTGGGAAAATAATATAAAGAAAAAAATCAGAGGCATATTATGTTCAAATGAAAAGAAATTAAGTAAAGAAGCTCGCTTCAGTCCAGGTGACCTGAGTATTAAAAGGTGAATAATATTGGTCTCTCTTGCTCATGTGCTTGCCCTTGGAACCACATCGTCATGCTGCAAGAAAGCCCAAGCCACGTGGAAAGGTCCCAGTATGTGCTTTGGTTGAAAGTCCTATATAAGGTTTCACCTGAGAATCAACGACTCAAATTATGTGAGTGAACCAGCCTTCGGGTAACTTTGATTCTCACCCTGAGAGCTGTTAACAGATGCTATCGGGTGCAGGTGAGCTATTCCTGCTGAGCCTTGCTCAGTTAGTGGATTCCTGACTAAAATAAATGCTGTCATTGTTTTAAGCTACTAAAATTTAGAGTGGCTTGTGGTACAGCCATGATAACTAGAACAAGTTTTAGTGTGTGAAGTAGAAAACTATCATAACAAAAACCTAAATATGTGGAAGTGAGTTTGGGACCAAGGAGAGGGCAAAGGTAGATGGCCCTTGAAGAGGCTGTTAGCTGAGGCCCAGTGGCCCTGGGGAGGTTGTCTGTGAGGGCTTAAAAAGTGAGGGAAATGTTATTGGGAGTTTGAGGAAAGAGGACCTTTAATATAAAGTGACAGAAAGTTTAGCAACACTGTCACCTATAATGACATAGCAAATAGAAAATTTACCTAATGAACTGGATATATAGCTGAGGAGCTTTCCAGGCAGCGTGTTAAAGATGTTGTCTAGCTTCTTCTGTCGTCTGTTCATAGAAGAATGCAGGAGGAAAGCTATAACTGAAGAAGGAATTGTTAAACATAAAGGAACCAGGATGTACTCGTTCAAAAATACAACTCCATTTTATTACCAGCCTCTCTGTATAGGAAATAACACTAAAATTAAGAAATGGAGATCAGGCATGGTGGCTCACACCTGCAATCCCAGCACTTAGGGACGCTGAGGCAGGCAGATCACCTGAGGTCAGGAGTTTGAGACCAGCCTGGCCAACATGGCAAAACCTGGTCTCTACTAAAAAAAAAAAAAAAACAAGAAAATTTGTTGGGCATAGTGGTGGGCACCTGTAATCCCAGCTACTTGGGAGGCTGAGGCAGGAGAGTCACTTAAACCCGGGAGGCAGAGATTGCAGTGAGCTGAGATTATGCCACTACACTCTAGCCTGGGTGACAGAGTGAGACTACGTCTCAAAAAAAAAAAAAAATGGCTTCCAGGCAAGGTCAAATTGAGAGTTGTTATCAGGAAGCTCAAATATAGAGCTTTATCTACAGAGGAAGCCAAGACTGTGACCAGAAAACCTTATGTTGCGACATCAGAAATATTTCAGATATATATATTTAAAAAAAAAGAAAAGTCTTGCTACAAATATCTTAAGGTTATTCGTCATGGATAAATTCAATTTTTTAAAAAAGAGCTTCTAAGAATCTTAAGGGTGTTATATCACAATAGCCCTGCAGGAAGCCCAAGATGAAGAAGGTCTTACCTCAAAGGAATCTCATGGCTACGGTTTTTATCTGATAGAGTAAACTTTAGTAAAATTTAACTAGAAGAAAAAGAGATGATATGAAGTGGAAAGAGCTCTACAAACTAGGAATAGAAGGGAAGCTCCAACTTGAAAAGGGCATCTACAGAAATGCACAGCTCTGTCATACCTAAGGGTGAAAGACTGGATGCTTTCCTCCTTAAAATCCAGCCTCAGTCAAGTAGTCCATTCTCAACACTTCTACTCAACAGTATCCTGGTATCTTAGCCAAGAAAAGCAGGAAAGAAAAAGAAATTAAAGATATCCATATTGAAAATGAATAAATGAAGCTATCTCTATTTTTAGGTGACATGATTTTTTTTACATAGAAGATACTAATGAATACATACACGTACTCATGCTCTTAGAACTAATAATAAATTCAGAATACAAGATCAATATATAAAAATTCATTGTGTTTCTATACACTAGCAACGAATAATCTGAAATGAAATTAAGTATAAAATTCCATTAAAATCATATGTAGGAGAATAGCACACTTAGGAATAAATGTATCAGAAAAGGTTCAAAAGTTATACTCTTAAAACTATAAAACATTACTGATTAATTAAAGAAGATCTAAATAAATCGAAATACATTACATGTTCATGGATTTGAAGTCTTACTATTGTAAAAATAGTAATATGCTCTAATTGAGCTATTGATTCAATACAATTCCTAGCAAAATCACAGCTGTCTTATTTTATATCATTTGACAATATATTTCTGAAATGCATGTGGAAATTCAATGAACAAAGAATATTCAAAATAATCTTGAAAAATAAGAATAAATGTGGAAGATTAACACTTCCCAATTTTATACTTACCACAAAGATACAGTAATCAGGACAATGTTGTACTGGCATAAGGATAGACACATAGTTCAATGGATAGCAGTAATAGTCCAGGAATAAGGCCTTTATATCTGTGGTCAATTGATTTGTGACAGTGGTATCAGGCCAATTCAATGAGAAAATAAAAGTCTTTTTAACAAATGGTGTTGGAATAACTGGCTCTTCATATGCAAAAAATACACAATACACAAAATTCTCACAAAATGGAATGTAGACTTAAAATTAAGAAATGAAAGTAGAAAACTCTTGGAAGAAAACATGGAGGTAAATCTTTGTGATCTTGGTTTAGGTAATGGTTTTTTAGATATGACACCAAAAGCAAAAATAACAAACTAAAAAATCAATAAATTGGATTTTATCAAAATTGAAAACTTTCGTGCTACAAACCATGTCATCAAGAAAGGGGAAAGAAAATTTAAAGAATTAGAGAAAATATTTGCAAGTCATGTATCTGTTAAGGGAATTTGTATCCAGAATATAGAAATAACTTTTAGTATTCAACAACAAAAAGATAACCCAATTTAAAATGGGCAAAGGATTTGAATAGACATTTCCCCAAAAAAGATTCACAAATGGCCAATGAGGACATAAAAATATGCTCAACATCATTTGCCATTAGGAAATGCAAATCCAAACCACAATTGGATACCATAGCACACCTATCAGGATAGCTACAATCAGAAAGACAGATAATAAGTGTAGGCAAGAACGTGCAGAAATTGTGGCCTTCATACATTGCTGATGAAATGTAAAATGGTGCAGCTGCTTTGAAGAACAGTTTGGCGGCCCCTCAAAATGTTAAACATAAATTTACCATACGGCCCAGCAATTCTTCTCTTTGGCATATACTCCTCCAAAATAGAAGCATGCTTCCACCAGAAAAAATGTCTACAAAAATGCTGATAGCAGCATTATTCATAATAGCCAAGAGGTGGAAACAAGCCAATAGTCCATCAACTGACAATTAGGTAAGTGAAATGTGGTGTGAGGGTCCTACAGAATTTTATTTAGTCATAGAAAAGAAGGAACAGTTGTTCCTTCAGTAGATATTTGCTGCAACATGTGTAAACTATTAAAAAAATACACAGTGGAAGAAGCCAGACACAAAAGATCACATATTTTACAATTTTATTTATACTAAATGTTCACAAAAAGCAAGTCTCTAGAGGCAGAAAGTAGATTAGTGGTTGCCGGCAGCTGGGAGGTTTTTGGGGCAGAGAAATGAACACTGAATGCTACTGGGTATGAGGTTTCTTTTGGGGGCAGATCAAAATGTTTGAAAGTTAGATTGTGCAAAGATTGCAAAGCTCTTTGAAATTATTTAAAAACCATTTAGTTGTATACTTTAGTGGGTAAGTTGTATGGTATGTGAATTATATCTCAATGAAACTTTATTTTAAATTTTAAAAAGTGTCAAGATTATGAAAGGCTGAAAAACTATCACAGATTAAAGGAGACTAAAGAGATATGACTAAATGCAACATGGTGTCTTGAATCGGATCCAGAAATTTTAGGACATTAATGGAAAATTAAAGGAAAAATTGAAGAATCTGAACAAAGTTTGTAGTTTTATGTTGAAAAGAAAAAGAAAAAGAAAGAGGCCTTTGAACTCTAGAATGACTGCAGGCAAGAACCAGCCAAACAGAGGGCAGAAGGAGGAGCCCAGAGAACAGAGCCCAGAGGAGGGAGCCAAGAGCAATAGTGAATCACTCCCAGGAAGTAGAATGGAGCCCTAATCAAGGATTGGCAAGTATTTCACATTTGTTACCAACCAGTAGCTGCTGGGTGCTTCCAGTTTTCCCATTGTACAAATGAGATATCCATTATGATTATCGCATGCTTGTCACACATTTAGGTTATTGGGTGTGTAGGATACAGATAACTCATCTCTTTGGTTCCCAGTTCTTCATATGGAGAAATATTCTTGAGCTTCAGATCCAAGGAGCCTTCCCTATCCCTGTATCTGCTTTGATGACAAGATTCTGGATCTTGAACCTGAATGTAATGCTGAAATGGGATGTCTTTTTCAAGAATTGTATAATTATACATCTTTTGGGGGTAGGATGAGTCTTGGAAGATTCTAGGAAGAGGGTTGAGTTGAGTATTTTCTATGTGTGAGGGAAGGGGTGTGATGCCAGGTGACAGTCTGTGGCAGAATGTATTTTTTAGAATAGTTGCAGCAATACTTCCTGTTTCATATATTCTTCTAGCACTTTGGCATTTCCCATGAAGAGCTGAAGTCTATTTCCCCATCTCTTAAACCTGAGTAGGCTTGCGATTACTCTGACAAATAAAATGAACTGGGAGGGAAGCAGTGTGACTTCCCTGGAGAGGTTAGAAAAGATGATACAGCTTCTATCTGGCTTTCCTTCTCTTGGATATTCACTCTTAGGAACTGGGCTCAGGGTTGTAAGAAAGCCCAGGCCACATTAAGAGGTCACATATAAGCCTTAGTATCGACCATCAGATATTTGAGTGAATGAGAGATGATTCCAATGTCCAAAAGATAATGGATAGCAGATCAAGGGATAGCTACAACAGAACGGTCATAGGTAATGTGAGTGGAGCAGAGATGAGCTATCCTTGCCAAGCCCTGCTCAAAATAAATGATATTTCATTTGATAATGACAATAAATATTTTGCCCTTGAGCAAAATAAATGATGTCATTGCTTTTAGCCACTAAATTCAGGGGTTTGTTTGTTATACTGAGATATCCTGGCATGTTACATGTTGGCCCAAAGACAATTCCAGTGGCAAGTCTTTCTTTGTACCTACCATATGGCACTTACCACTTTTTTTTCCTTGAGATAGAGTCTCACTCTTTCGCCAGGCTGGAATTGCCAATCTCAGCTCATTGCACCTTTGCCTTCTGGGTTCAAGTGATTCTCCTGCCTCAGCCTCCCGAGTACCTAGGACTACAGGTGCCCATCACCATACCCAGCTAATTTTTGTATTTTTAGTAGAGATGGGGTTTCACCATGTTGGTCAGGATGGTCTTGAACTCCCAACCTCGTGATCCGCCCGCCTTGGCCTCCCAAAATGCTGGGATTATGGTATGAGCTACCGTGCCTGGCCACCACTTTTTCAAAAACCGAAATACAAATGACATACAAAAGCAGATAGATTTCAAATTTCTAATGAATATGATGACTTTTGACAATTAATATACCGAAATAACCACATCTCACAAGACGAATTAGAATGTTTCTATTGTCAAAGAATATTTCCTCATCTCCTCCTAGTGGCATGCTGGAGCCATCTGTCTGTGGTTGTGGCAGTCAGTGGCTCACATGCATTCCTAACTCCTAGTTCAGTGACATCACACTGGCAGCTAGAAATCTTGAAACTGGAAGTATTCACAGCGTAAAAATCAGCAAATGCTACAAATCCGAACTTTCACCCACCCACCACCCCATCTAGTTCTAGACATTTAACAGATACTGATCCTGACCCTTTTCTATAAGTTCCTCCATCCTCCAGAAGAAAATCTTTTTTATTGCTCTCACTGTAGTGAGTTTTGCCTATTCTTGGATTTCTTATAATGGGATTATCCAGTGTATATCCTTCTGGATCTGCTTTCTTTCACTTAAAATAATATTTGGAAATTGATCCATGTTGTTGCGCATGTCAGTATTCACTCCTTTCTAATTGATGAATAGCATTCATTAAACATACAACAATGGCATTGTCTTTTTTCTTGTTGACGAACATTTGAGCTGCTTCAGATATTGAATAACTATGAATAATGCCTTTATGATAGTATTGTGCTTGTCTTTCAGTAGACATATGTTTTCAATTCTTTCCAGTAATATAGGAGTGGGTTGCTGGGTCATAGAGTAGATCTGTGCTTAACTTACCAGAAAAGGAGAAACAGTTAACCAAAGTGCTTGTAACGTTTTACTCTGCCACAAGCAATGTATAAAAGTTTTTGTTGTTCCACATGTTTGCCAAGATTTAGTATTATTGGGGCACATTACGGTGTTTCATTTTGGTTTCAATTTGTGTGTTCCTGGTAACTAATGATGCTGAGCCTCTTTCCAGGTGATCAGTCTTGTGATTAACACTTGTAAAGGGTTTTTTCTAGTACTTTGTCTGCCTTTCTATTGGGTTGTTTGTTTTCTTGTTATTCATTTGTAACAGATTGAGAATATCCATATGTTCTTTATGCAAGTCCTTTGTCCTATCTGTCCATCTATCTATCTACCTACCTATCAATATTTTTTCCAGTCTGCGGCTTGCCTATTTTTTTCTGGTTAGTGGTTAAAAAACAAAATTATTTAACTACCTCTAGGTTACAATGATATTCTCTTTTGTTTTCTTTCACATGTTTAGACTTCTAGCTAATGTTGGAATTTACAGTCCATCTTA